TGAGGGATGTTCGAAAGATTGCACCGCGTGATAAATTACAGTAATAAGATATAAAATTTCTTATATTTCTTTACATCTGTATGTCTTATAGTTATTAATTCGTCAATTATTATAAACACGATCAGATATATTTAGATTAACATGATTATTTTTATTCAATACCTATCTATTGGCTTCATTCAGTAAATACTGCCTGCACTCTGCTTCTCTGAGCAAGAAACGCACCGCATCTTCTTATTGAGGTAGGCATTGATTTACTAACGTTTTGAGATGCCTCAGTTCCGGTAGTACTACTCCGGAAGCGCATTGACTACTTAACGGACAGTAAACCAGCATGGAATACGCCTCCACCAGGGCGTTTACTAATTCGATATTGCGGCTCTGTTGAAGCGCAAATGAAGCAATCGTCGATAAGTGCGTCGCTATTACTGCAATTAACAATAATTCAGTATGGAAATACATGTAGCAAAAAAATGCAGATATAAAAAGCAATTTCTTATTAAAGTTGAAATTGAGTTTGTATTTCGTTCTTTATATGTTCAAGAGTTTATCTTTCAAGTTACATGAAGAACGTATATTAGAAAGGATAACGTACTGTCTTCTATGTAGTTTTGTGGACAGGTGGGAGCGATGACCGCGAACGTGGATACTAACGAAGTTGCCAAAATCGGAGAGAGTTCCAGAAGATCCTTCATGATCATTTTCAACGTTAAACGTGCTTTATCACGTGCTTCCCTCACCTTGCACTCTATTATACGGCCTAGGGTGGAGATTGCTGTATAATGGAATCTAACTTGTGAGCGTTTTTAATTCCGACGATACCATCCGTGACTATTACTATATCTGAAAATGTTCCTTTCTCTGTATTCTCCATAATACTATTGCATAGCATTAGGTAAATGATTAAATATATCATAAATTGTGAACTCACGTGCACAGCTTTGCTCAGGTAAAAGTGTCAAAAAGCCAGCATCCCGTATCTCAACATATTTACAAAACTAGCTTCGGGCGAAACCATGGAGATATTACAATTATTTTTGTTCAAGCAGTTGCTACTTTCCTCAAAAAGCCTCCCTACCAAACCCTCGCTCTCTGCCCTTAAATTTTCTAATTGTTGATTAGCTATGGCTGTGACGGTCGCTACTCTCTCCTCTAACAGGTACAACTGTTTCTCTACGTATTGTGTGAGAGAATTCACGTTATCCGCAGTGATCAGCCATCGTACTAGTACTTGTTGCGCCAGGCTTGTAAAGAACGGCGTATGAGCTATCACAGTCAGATAAATTTCAGGCTGCATCACACACCTGCTGTCTGGTATCGTAAACTACGGACATACGGTGAATTAAGAATCTTTCTATTTTACATGCATTAGCAACATATCAAGAAAAGAATACTTACTGGTTTAGTTATACCTTCAAGACATTGTTTCGTCACCAGATACACCTCATCAATGACAATCTCACCGCTTTGTACATCCTAAAGAAACATTAATTTTATTTACTGACTGACGCCGCTACAAAAGTTAGAATATTTGACAACAAAAGTATTAATTTCGTAATACTTACAACAGTGGCAAGCGACGGACTTAAATCTAAGCTAAAGACCATCCTATATTTGTGCGCCAGAAATACAATCGATGTCGTCAAAACAACTTTATAAAGGAATTGGTGGCTGGTATCTATAGACCATGCAACAGGCTCATCCTTCAGCAGCACCGATACTATATACTTCCAGCTCCGGTTCCTCCTTATTCTTTATATTCGGGCATTGTGTACTTATCACAGAGTCCAAATGCTCCAGCAGCCATTGAGCTTTCACATTGCGAGAGATGGGAAAGCCCTTCTTCATTAACAGAAAGATAGTTCCGCTTCTAGCACGGTTCTATCCTATACAAAAGAAAACTACAGTTAACAAAAGCAGTAATTACTACAATAATTCTATATCACGCTTGTTTTTAGCATATTGCGACTGCTTTGAACAATGGGATGAAAAGCATTCCGTTAAAAATCGTAATTATCACATTTAATGTGATTAAAATTAAATTAATTATATTACTTGAAAATTGTCGTTAAAATCGTAAGATACCTATATTTTTGCACGTGAAATGTAGCCAGGTATTAGGCATAAACAAATCTGATAAATAAATTAAAAATAGGTTAAGCACGTTTCCCGTGTTGATGAACTATTACGTAATGCGTTCCGAAACCACCACATATTTTACGTCTCACCCCCACTCTCCGGCAGCTAAACGATGTACAGTTTTTCGCTTTTTTTAGCGAAACCGTGATCTAACAAATGTTTTAATTAGTATATTGAGAACTAACAAACGATTCCGCATCGATTGACCACGGTTTGAACCAAAAATTGTAAAGAATTCTATATTTACCGGCTAAATTAACACTAAAAATTGTTTTCGTGATTACGTAAAAACTATTAACTAACAAACGTTTTAATTAGTCTAACAATCAATAACAAACAACTAACAATCGATTCGTAAAAAAAAATGTTATAAGTCGAAATTGTCCGGCTAACTTCTATGAGGTTAAAAGTAGAGGGGATAATGTTGGTACTAAAGAAAATCCCTAGGCAATACAATTTAATTTTTGTAGATTATTAGCACTGCGTAAGTAGTAATATGTTAGATAGAGGGTGCATTCGGGGAGACGCTATTAACGCTATAAACGCAAACGCTATGAACTTCGTTCGAAGAGCCAATAGCGCGACAGCGATAGCAAGCTCCCCGAACGCAGCTCCAATTTCACCAACCACAGTTAGCTTAACCGACGGTTAAAGTTAGCAGGATTGACTAATAGAAAGCAGGGTGGATTCATTTCTATTGGTCAATTCTGTTAACTTTAACCATCGGTTAAACTAACTGTGGTTGGTGAAATTGGCCCTTAAGCGCCAATAGTATTTCGTGCCTCACCTCGAAAATAATAGCGAAAATAGCGCGAGTGATGACGTCACGCTGCCTTTACAGTGACGTCATCATCGTATATCACAGCGCCACAAAGCGTCTCCTCGAACAATTTTGGACGATAATTGTGCTAATAGCGTGCTCCCCGAATGCACCCAGAGAAAGCCTTTTTCAAAATATACGCGCACGAATACAAAATGATCAAACCTTTTTGACACATGCGTGATAATGAAAGGACAGGTATGTTTTTCCACTTCCTGCAAATCCGTCTATAAAAAATAACCTTTTGACTTCATTCTCATTTTCAATTGCTCGCATTACTAAATCGTACACGTGCTTTTGCTCTGCATTTAATGTCAACGATAAATCTTCTCCTCTACTTCTTTCCTCATCTAAATCATATTCTATTTTAATAATTTCCACTGGCTTTGGTTTTGGCAATTTGAAGTTTACGCAGCTAGTTTCATTATTTTACATAATTTCCTCGATATAATTCATAGCTATATTTCTGGATTATCCATATTTCTGTGTACATAATCTTCAATCATGGCGTCTTTATATTTATTCCAAAGTGTTGGTACATCTGTAGGTGTTCCATATATGCAAATATAAGCAAATAGCTCTCTAAGGGTGCCGTCCCATGGCGCGTATTGCGATACGCGCGTATCGGGCGTATCGAAGTCTGCGGCCAATCACAGACGATCCGCCGATTTTGGTACGCCGAAATTTGCTCCTAAACGTCCCATGGAGCGGATTTCATCAGATTAAAGGTGGAAGCACATAAAATTGCAGGAGCCATGAGCAGAAAGCAGAAGCCATATGCGCATGCGCTATGGTATCCGTAGAGCTCTAACAGATACCATATCGCATGCGCATATGGCTTCTGCATTCTGCTTATGGCTCCTGCAATTTTATGTGCTTCCACCTTAAGCGTAAGCGGACCAGCGGATCGCCAATCACAGAATCTTTCCGATAGAGCCCTTTCAAAGATTCCGTTGAAACGGATCCGTGATTGACGATCCGCTGGTTACGCTTCCGCTTTATCCGCTCCATGGGACGGTAGGACCGTTTGGCGACGCGTACTGAACACACGCACACAAACACGCTTGTGACGCATGCACCTAAAAGGGCAAACGTCATAACCTCCAAAGTGAAGCCAGTTGTACGGCAAAAAATCTATGTTGAGATCGAGATCGCCAAGGTATTCGCCACCGCTTAATCTAGATCCAAATCACCTAGATTACCCCGAGAACAGTGTCACCACGTCGATTTACATTTCAGATCCAGATCGCCCTCGTTTTCTCCTCGAAGAGGATCATTTCGCTTGCATTCGCCGAAGAATTTTTGTGACTTTTGCGTGACATCGGTGTACGGCAGTGTCGAGATCAAGATCCCTACTCCGAGTCAAATACGCCGGTGATCTTTGAGCTTTGCCCTCTTCCCCCCATTCGAGGAGTATAATCATTTATACTCTCGTGTCTAAAACTTGTTTTCGTAATTAATTATTAATTAAATTTATAATAATATATTATCTTAGTATTATGTTAGCCTTTTTTTCAACAACGTTATTTCAAAATATATTTTTATCTTCTACTGTAATTCATTTTCTACTTTGTTCTAGATTTTTATAATAATAATAATATACTTTATTCGATTCGGCCTTCCAGCCTAAAATCCGGGACTTGGTTTACAATTTTGCTACCTAAACATTCACTCCTTCATGCACTCTCTCTTTCCCTTCTCCTATTCTCTCTCATTTTTCCTAATTCTCTCATGCATTTCACATTCGCTATCTTTCCCTCCTCTCCTAAAAAATCCTTCACTCTAATCTTGCGCTCTCTATCTACATGTGTCAGTATGTGCTCCATCGTTCCTTCTTCTTCTTCGCAGATCTGGCATTTTCTTCTTCCCGCCTCCGCCCAGAATCTGTTTCTTTCCTCTTCGTTTCCACATCTCCATCTCGCAATCAACTTCTGGCTCCCTTTGTGCCCTTTCTCTCTCAAATATCTCGGTCCTTCCTGCGCCATTATGTCCTTATATCTCTTGTTGTATCTCGTGCTTCCTATCTTACTATCCATCCATTGCCCTAGTCTCTCTCTCTCTCTCTGCCCTATTACTTGCCCTATATCCGCCTCCCCCTCCCTCAGTAGTTTTATACCCTCAGAACTAAATCCGTTTTGCCTATAAAACATCTCTCTCTCCTCCCCCACCATACCCTTTTGTCCCTCACTCTCTTTTTCCTTCACGCATTCTATTACCAATTTTCTTTCCCCCATCTTCATAGCCTTTTCCTCGAACCTTACTGCTCTGTTTCCCGCAATTGTACTTAACTTTACTCTCCCCGTTTCCTTATAAACTATATAGTCCGGCGTACAGGAGTCGAGGCCAAGGGTCCACTTTACATACTTTTTATGTATTCTTTCCAATTCTTCTCTTTCTCTCCAGCCCCAGATCTCTGCCCCATACATTATAACCCCAAGTACTAAATATTTAAATAATATCATTCTTCTCCTAAAGTCGTCCCTGAACCTACGTTCCCCCCTCCCCCATACCTGCCTCATCACAATATTTGCCTTCTTCTTTGCACTCTTGATCTGTCCGTCGTCGCCTCCATTCCTCCTCAACTCGTATCCCAAGTACCTGTGTTCCTTCACTTCCTCCAGTCTCTTTCCTTCCCATTCCCATCCCACCTCCTTTCCTCTGCCTCCTCCTCTTCTAAAGCACATAATCTTTGACTTCTCTGTGTTCAGCTGCAGTTTTTTTCTTCTTAGGTATCTCTCCAGTCTCCTTATCATCTCCTTCATTCCATCCACACTTTTTGCCAGCAGCACCAGATCATCTGCATACGCTAGTGTCCATATCCTTTCTGCTCCAACCCTCATGCCGCCCGCCTGCCCTGCCTTCATCTCCTCCTCCACATCTGCAATCAATATCGAGAACAGTAGCGGACTCAGAGGGCACCCCTGCCTTACTCCTTTCTCCGTCCAGAACCAGTTGGAGACTTTTCCGCTCACTTTAACCGCACTCTTCGTCCCTTCATAGATTTCCTTGATCCTTTCAATTATCCCTCTTCTTATTCCTCTTTTCTCCATTGCTTCCCATAAGATCTTTCTGTCCACTCTGTCGAAGGCCGCCCTTAGGTCCACAAAGAACCCATATACTTTTCCTCCTTTCTTCCTCAGTTCTCTTTTGACCACGTGCTGTAACACATACACGTTGTCCATCGTCCCTCTGCCTTTCCTAAAACCTGCTTGAGTTTCCGGCAGAATTTTCTTCTCTTCTGCCTCTTTCCTTAGCCTCTCTGCTAATATTCCTGCGTATATCTTATATGCAGTACATAACAGGGATACTCCCCTGTAGTTTTCCACACTTTTCGGGTCACCTTTCTTGAAAATTGGGGCTATTAACCCCACTCTCCATTCTTCCGGGAAGCCTTCACCTCTCCACACCTTTTTCAGGATTTCCTTCAGCTTTCCCTTTATCCGCCCGTCGCTGAACTTCCATGCCTCTCCTGCTATCCCATCTACTCCTGCCGCTTTTCTCCTCTTTAAGTTATTGATCTGTTCTTCAATTTCTTGATCCTGAATCTCCAGCTCCCCATCTTCTTCCTTACTTCTTCTTTCCACCTCCTCTCTCCTGTCCTCTTTACTTCCTTCCAACAACTGCATAAAATGATTCTCCCATTCCTCCATCTTTATATCTTCCTCAATTGGTACTCTTTTCTTCCTTTCCTTGTTAATTATCTTCCATATTTGTTCTTCTGTTTTCGCGCTCCTGACTTCTTCCTCATAATTCTCTAGCCTTTTTTCTTCCTTCCTTCTGCACATCCCCCTAAATTCTCTTCTTAGTTTCACATATACCTCCTTTCCTTCCTTTCCCATTCTCCATCTTTTATATGTCCTCTTCAGCCCCCTTTTCTTTCTCTTGCACTCCTCGTCCCACCAATCCTTCTCTCCTATTTTCCTCCTCCTTATCATAATCCTTTTCCTTACCATACTTTTCTCTACTGCCTTCTTCAGGCTTTCCCAGACGTCCTCCACCTCTTCCCCCTCCACCTCTACCTCTTCCGCTTTCTCCTTATACTTCTTGATACTCTCTTCGTCCCACTGTATCACTTCCTTTGTCTTCTTTTGCATCTCTTCCTCCAACCTTTCAACTCCTCCCCTTATTTCTACCTCCAAGGGTTGGTGGTCCGACTCCACCCTTTCTCCTATCGTTAACTTGAACACTCTATCCCACGCCTCTCGATTCACCACCATGTAGTCCACCACCGATGTTCCTCTTCCTCCGGAGTACGTCCATTCTCCTTCCTCGTCACCTCTCATATTACCGTTCCCTACCTCCCATCCCCTCTCCTCCAGCATCCCTAAAAATTCCTTTCCCTCCGTGTTTATTACCTCATCTTTAGAGCTTC